ATCTAACTGGTACACATTTGCTTGTGGTAGCATAGATCTTCTCATACGTCATGGATGACAGTGATGATAGTCGATACAAAGGGCTCATATCTACTGTTAGAAAGAAAAGAAGCCAGATGCTGCGGCGACCTAGGACAAAGAATCTGACAGTTCCTGTATACCATGTTCACTCATCCCAGACATTACTTTCAGATAGTGTTGATAGTGCCTCTAGAGATGAGTATACTGATGATACTAATGCAGGAGGGAGAAACTACAACCTCAATTACTCTATATCTAGATATTCTTCTGCTTACAGGTTCAAAGGTGATTATTCTTCTAAAAAGAACAAGGGGGATGGGGGATCTAGGGAGACAAATGATAATGCATGTGCGGGAGATGATACGAATCCCAGGCATGGTGCGTCTGTTAGGAAGTTAGGCAATGCTGGGGACAATGTAGCTAATGATAGCAAGCTGAAAATTGGTGGAGCGGCTGGCATTATTCAAACCAAAAAGAGTTCTTATGGATCATCTGGTAGTTCATTGTCTTCTAAAAGTGGACAACCCTCTGATGCCTCTCAGCCTAAGCATAATCTCACTCCTCAGGTTTATAGCACACTCAACTTAATCTTTTGAATTCTTTAAATTCACTAAATCTTAATTATATTTTGTCAAATATTGTCTGGTAGAAATTATGGTTGGTTTCAAGGAGTGGCCACATAAGAATTTGCCACCTGCTCCCTCGGTCCACTTTTACTTGTCTATTGTACCTTTACTTGTTCAATTTAGAAAATCAACAGATAATTTATCGATTTATACCTTTTTTACCATAATTATTTAGTACTGATTATTTCCTATTTATTTCTCAATGAGTGAGATACTTATAAGAAGTAGAGAGGGTTGATATAGTAAAACTATTTTTTTTATTGCTTTTTAAGGGGTGTGCCAAGTCAAATATGAACAAATAAACATGGATGGAGGGAATACTAGTATCCGAAATATGTAAAAGAGAACACATAAAGCAACATCTAAATTTGGTTATTCTCAGGGGATGAATAATGAATGTGTCCGAGAAGCATTCTTTTGGTAGCTAATTTGGATATTCACTACTTCCTTTCCAAATTAGTGAGCAAGAAAGTTAGTCATTGCAATTTCTTTAAAAATGCGACTTGTGATTATTCCATTGTTCATTTACCTATGTGTATGGATATTACATGACAATAGATTATCTTTTAATAATCCTGGTAATGCTGATCTTTCATTTGAATCGTCTCTCTGGGTTTCAGGACAATTCAAGTGAATACGGTCCTCTTGCAGATAAGAAAAGTAGGTCGAAAGGAATTGCGTGCAAGGGTTTCCCAGGAGGCACTTTTGGTGCTAGCAAAAGCAATATAAAGAAGATGCCGATGAAGAATGTCTTTAAAAAACCAGGAGACAAGCCACATAAAAATCGTAAGGTCCACAGGCGAAGGAGGCTTATTTTGGATGATCTTGATGAGGAGGATGAGATTCACTCCTTGGAGGAGCGTAATGTGGGGGAAGAACTAACTAAGACAACAAGTCTTTCTGGGGGCTTGAAGGTCGATAAGTATGAAATGTTGGAAGATGCTGGAAGGTCAGACAAAGAAGTTAACAGAAAATCAAACCGAGGTTCTGAGGATCCTGATTATGAGGAGGAAGAACTATTGTCTGATGGAGAGGCCAAGCGGACAAACAAGAAGGACAAAGAAATGGAGTCCTATGAGACACTGGTTGAAACAAAGAATGAAATAAGTCTTACAACACGTCCACAACAACAGGCTCTTCTGTCTGGCAAAGAAGTTAACAGAAAATCAAATCGAGGTTCTGAGGATCCTGATTATGAGGAGGAAGAACTATTGTCTGATGGAGATGCCAAGCGGGCAAAGAACAAGGAGAAGCAAATCAAGGAGTCTTATGAGACATCGGTTGAAACAAAGAGTGAAATAAGTCTTGCAACGAGTCCACGACAACAGGCTCTTCTGTCTGGTAAAGAAGTTAACAGAAAATCAAATCGAGGTTCTGAGGTTACTGATTATGAGGAGGAAGAACTATTGTCTGATGGAGAGGCCGAGCGGACAAAGAAGAAGGAGTCCTTAGAGACATCGGTTGAAACAAAGAGTGAAATACGTCTTACAACACGACAACGGGCTCTTCTATCAAGAAGGGATTCATCTGCTACTTCTGTGAATCAGATTGGGTATCCCTACGGTTGTCCTCCAGCACCACCTCAAAGTGAGAAAATTTTGTGTTTACTCATGTCTTGCAGTGTTATCCCATTCCTCAAGCACCTTTTCTGATTGTACAAAATTTGTCTTGTCATCCCTGCTATTTTTGCAGAACAAAAGGAGAAGTTCTCAGATGTTGAGCAGCAACTGAAAAGAGCAAAGGCTGCTCAGAAACGTAAAATACGATATGAGGAGGCAGCTCGGGAATCAGAGGTTTGCCCTTGTTTTTGATGTATCACGTTTTTTTTTTAGATTTTATGATGCTGAAATGATCATAACTTGTTGAATCTTGCAGGCTGAGGCAATTAGAAAAATACGAGGTCAAGATTCCAACAAGAAGAAGCAAGAAAAAATAAAGAAGCAGCAGGAAGAGTTAGCACAGGTATCCCATGTGTTTACTATAGGCTGCAACTTCGTTAATGTTATGAAGCTAATGATCAATTAATTGTTGTATCCTGCAGGAGAAGGCTGCCAACGAGCTTGCACCAAACACTATCAGAACAGTTATGGGCCCAACTGGAACTGTTGTTACATTCTCTCACGATATGGGTTTGCCAAGTATTTTTGACTCTAAGCCTTGCAGGTAACGATTGTCGCCCCTTCTCTTTTGTCCTCATTTTCTACAGTAGTATTTTGGTAAGGCTGGAGTCTAGCTATCATTGAGCCTTACTTACTGTTTGTACTTTGTGGTTTTGTTGCTATATTCCAGTTATCCTCCCCCTCCTGAAAAATGTGCTGGTCCTTCCTGTGTGAACCCATCCAAGTACCGGGATCCCAAGTCAAACCTTCGTCTTTGCAGTCTTGAGTGCTACAAGGCAATTCATGAGAAGATGAAGGATTAAAAGGCCTGCTAACATATATAGTTGTGACATATGCAGGTTTTAGTGCTTTTAATTATATGGTTACTGTTTTCTTTTGTATTTATGAATTACTCCATGGATCATCTTCCAAAACTATTGGTCTGTATTATGGTTGATTTTAGCCTTCCCAATCAAACATTTGTTGAACACTCTTTATATTTTGGCTGCTATGAGAAGTCGTATTCACTTAATAGTTACAAATCCTATTAACAAGAAGAGTCAGGTTTTGCATGCTGGTGGTAGGTAACCGGTATTAGAATAGTAGTAGTCGGTACTGGGGAAATCAGTCGAGGTGCACACCATATTTGTGCTAGTGGGAAGTAGTAGGTATCGGCTGTATTAATTGAGGCCCTTTGTGGTTGTTTAATTAGATTCTATTAAGGGCCAAATCCAAATCTTAGAATCTAGTATAGGTGAAGAAGTAAAATGCCATCACGTTGCATTTGGTGGCATTTATCGTTGTCACGATCAAAACACTTATACTTTAATAATTTTCTCTCCAAAACGGAACAATTCAAGTCTAACTAATAGTAATTAGTATCTAACAACAATTGTTTAGTTGAAATAATCTATGTTTAATGTTAATTAGAATACAAATAAACTATGCATAATGTCCAATTTTTTGATTGGTCATCAGTTCATCAATATTTGCCACTTGTTTGGAATGTTTTTGAAGTGTATATCACATAATTTCTATAACAACGACAAAAATCGACTTGATTAGTTTAATTTAGCCCTAATATTTAGAAATCGACAAAAATCGACTTGATTGGTTTAATTTAGCCCTAATATTTAAAAATTGACTCAAGTAATTTGAATTTCTTTATAGATATTAATTGATTATTATTGAGCTCTGAATTTTATGAAAATAAGGGGGGGAAAATTCCTCTTTTGTGCAAAAAATCTAAAAATGTGCATAAATAGTGAACATGCTGGTATAATTGGATATGAGCGGGTTAAATAAAAATAGTAAAGTGAACACAAGGTAAATATCTAAATAACCTGAGACTCTCATAATGTAAACTCATAAAAGTTAAATTTAAATAACAAGCAAACAAATGAGTATTAGTAATATCAACTTATGAATATAGTGAATAATATGGATAATATTATACTTGATCCATTTTTAAATGATCAGTTATTCAACACATATTTAATGGATCGAAAGGGTTACTTATTTGAACAAAATTTCGCCAAAATTCTTAGGTCAGTGCATGCATTTCTAAATAAATACTCCCTCCGTCCAGAATTGTTTGTCATGTTGCGTTTATCGATATTTTAAACCAAAAAATTAGATATTCTAAAACTATATAAAAAGTACGATAAATTATAATTTTTTACATATTAATATGATCAAAAAAATACATCTTAAATTGTTAGTCAAAGTTTTTACGGTTTATCTGTAAAAACAGAAATCATGACAAATAATATGGGATGGAGGAAGTATAAGCAACTTATCACCTGTACGTAAAGATTAAAAAAAAACTACAGCAATTTTTTTACGTACAAATATTACATAATTTTCTATATACATCATATAATTTCTCATCATTGTATATGGCTACGTTGCTGCTTTTATCACTACATTGAGTGTTAAATCAAATTAGGAAATAGAATAACGTAAACACTTAATCATGAATATATCTTACGTGCTATATGACCACCAAATTTGTTGAAAAAAAAAATAATAAACTAAAGTACCTTACATAATTGGAATAAAAATTATACACACCAAATTCTTTAAATATCATATGTCAACCTTATGCAAAGAATATCATCGTGATAACCACTTTATAAATTTTTTTGATCAAATTATATATACTCCTCATCCCTTTTATGTACTTCTCAAATCCTGTTGCTAACAAAAAAAAAAATTATTTTCTTCTTTGTTAACTAAGTTTAAGTTATATTAAATGGGTTCGAGTTCAAAATTCTACGTTTCAGTCTCAAAAGACTATGTTGTGAATATGTTAAGAGAGTCATTTCAATGCCTTACCATTATCCTCCTCAGCCTTCTCCTTCCTCTCTCCTTTATTGTCCTCGCTAGGCTGTCAGTTACTCGTTATCTCATTGCCACATCAGATTACACGGAGCCCAATACACTACTTGTCAAGCTCTTTCTCTATGCAAATCCTATATTTCTTCGTCTACTAACTCCACTTGTCACCATTTCTGCTTTGACTCAATGCTTGACAGGACGAACTCTAACTGATCACATCATGATTTCAAAGTCTCATCTTTATATGTCGTGGTTAATACTTTTCACATTTCAAATTTGTGTGAGCATAGGCATAGAAGGAAGTATAGCTGTTGGAATAGATGGTAGTACTAGTTTTAGTCACCAAAGATTATATTTATTGACGAGAAGTATGTTTTTCATGGGATTGCATGAGACAACGTTGTTTTGGTCCAAGAAAGTAGTGAAACCTGTGGTTGATGACACAATTTTTGGCGTTGAGAAGGAGGATAGGTATGTTGAGAAGGTGGCTATGGCAATGAGTTTTGGTATTTTGTGGTGGTGTAAGTTAGGGGATGAAGTTGAGTCTTTAGTGGTTGTGGCTGAGATGAAAAGAGACTTATTTGGTAGTGTTGGTTTGGTTGATTTTGTTGGTTGGTGGTTGTATTATGTGACTGTGGCAATTGGTATGGTTAAGGTTGTGAAGGGACTAATTTGGCTAAATTTTGTGTTGTTTTGTGGGAATATGGTGGTTGGTTCAGACAATGCAGGCTCTTGTACAAGAAATGATGAAAAGGTCTAATGAATAGAGTAGTTTTTGACATTTTCTGTTCCTGAGACAGTTGTAATGTTGATTGTTAAACAGAATATGCTTTTGTCAAAGAAAGGGACATGTATGTATTTTTTCTATTTTTGAAGTTAAACAAATGCAAATACAAATATTCATTTTTTTTATTACCGACAATGCCAAGGGTCTTCATATACTCTACCTCCAGACCCCACACTTGTGAAATTTCATTGAGTTTGTTGTTATCGAGGAATCTGTTGGGTGTAAACTCTTTGGACCAGCCACATTTTTCAAAACTTGAGAAACATTTGGCCTGCAAACTTTCTTCTTTGTGTCTTTTTATGATCCATCAAGAGAATGTAGTTTGTGATTAACTTTATCTCTTTTGTCATCTCTTTCTAACCATGGCATTATGCCTTTTAACAGTTTCTCATCGTCTCAAGCATAGAGTACAAATGCATAAAGTCCTTAATTTGATCTTGGCTACCTTTGTAAAAGTTGCTCTAAGAGATACAAACAATACTATTCTGTTAAGAGGACTATCTTTCATTTGGACTTTCTGCTTGTCTCAGCCATGGATCACCGCGGTTTCAATCTTTTAAACTTTCATCATGAACAGGTTATTTTGCTACAGAAGGACAAAAACTTCACTTTCATCCTTGTTGAGGTCATGCTGAGTGTATTCCCTTGATATAAGTAAAATATAGGTCGATTGAAACCAAAGACTAAAAATTTGATCAACTGGTCCTGGAATTGGGATCATGGATCAAATCCCAATCCCCACCATTGATTTCAGTGTTTTTCAGGATGGTCACAATCATGTTCAAGAGTGTGGGAGAAATGAATTGATCAACAATGGCGCCGTAGATCCTTGGTTTGAATTGGACAGTGAGGATCTTGATTCTCTTTACACAGTATTTGACCTTAAATATCAAGATAATACAGCAGACAAACAAGTACAGTCACTGGAAGATCAGCAACAAAGCATTTCAGATCACTGGACCCAAAGTGATGATTCTTCCAACATGGACTTGCCCCTGCAGTTTATCCAAATTAAAACGACCCCCGAAGCATCTGATGGGATTCAGCCTCAGGAGCCAAGGCTTGACAATTTCCATGGAGAGAAAACAAATTCCATTTCTTTAGCATCTTTGGAGCTCTTGAACAATTGTGGGAGATTGTTCAAGAAACCAAGTGAGGAAAACTTGAGCAACGTATTACTCAGCAACGAGGCTCGTGTAAGTAACATCTCTAAGTTGTCAACAGAAGAAATCTTACGAGTTGCAGGAGAAAGATATATCCAGTACTCCACCCAAAGGGTAGATGGTCTTTCTATGTTTATACATCCATATGCTTCATCACTTTCGGGCCTTTCCATAGAGGAAACAAAGGACATGGAACTTGTTCACCTCCTTCTAGCTGCTGCAGAAGAAGTGGATCAGCAGCAATTTCATTTGGCTAGCCAATCTATTGCACACTGCCTGTGGAAGGCATCTGCTACAGGTAACAGCGAATTGTGTTTCATGTCGTCTAAAAGCTTAAGCTATTAGAGAGAGTACACATTTACTTACTTTTGTTTATATCTTGAATAGGTAATCCAATCCAGAGACTTTGTTTCTATTTTGGTGAAGCTTTACAAGAAAGGATTGATCGAGAAATAGGAAGGTCCCCATGTTTCGAAAGAAAGTTAAGATTTTTAAGCACTCTGGCATTAGGTAATACTCCTGAATCCTTAACATGCCATACAGAGATTCCCTTCAGTCAAGTAATGCAATTCGCGGGAAATCAGGCAATAGTTGAATATGTTAAAGGTGCAACCAAGATCCATTTGGTTGACTTTAATATTAGAAGTGGAATTCAGTGGACAGGATTGATGCAAGCTCTTTCCGAACGACGTAACTGTCCAATTGAGCTTCTGAAAATTACAGCCATTGGACACCAAGAAAAACAGAAAATAGAAGAAACAGGCAAGAGATTACAAAGTTTTGCCAATTCCTTGAATCTTCCCTTTTCATTTGATATGATCTTTATGTCTGACATGAAAGATCTCAAGGCAGAATCAGTCAATCTTAAAGCAGATGAAACTGTAGCTGTCTATTGTTACACTGTACTTAGAACAATGATCTGCAGGCAAGATTATTTGGACAACACGATGCGAGTAATCAGAGGACTAAGACCATCTGTGGTTGTTGTCTGTGAAGTTGAGGCAAACCTTAATTCACCTTCATTTTTGAACCGTTTCGTGGAGGCACTTTTCTTTTATAGTGTGCTTTTTGATTGCTTTGAAGACTGCATGGATAGAGACAATTTGGTCAGAAAGAGGATTGAAGTATTTCATATTGGTGAAGGAATCCGGAATATGGTTGCAGCTGAGGGTGCAGAAAGGTTCACTCGGAATGTAAAGCTTGATGTATGGAGAGCATACTTTGCAAGGTTTGGAATGGTGGAAATGGAGCTCAGCGAGTCATCTCGATATCAAGCAAATCTGATTCTAAAGCAATTTTCCCATGGCAGTTCTTGCATTGTTCAAAAGGATGGAAAGGCCCTCCTAGTTGGATGGAAGGGAACACCCATTGAATCAGTTTCTATTTGGAAGTTCTTGTAAAGATACTGAAAAGGGGAGCTTTAAGGACAGGAAATTAGTAGGATACTTAACTTGCTCTATTCTTTTATATACCCTTAGAGTTATTGTTGCTAGGGATAGGTGCAAGCAAACACACATTCAGGATAAAACAAGAGAAAATGCTTGAGATGGTTGGGTTATGTCTAGTGTTGGCTTCCGTGTCAATTATGGCGAGTAAAGGTGTTAAAAATGGGACAAGATAGACCTAAAATCACATGGAAGGAAGTTGCCTCTAAAGACCTACAATCTCTTCGAATTCATGTAGGCCTACCGAGAAATAGGGCACAATGGAATAAAAAGATAAATACAAGTGATAATAACTAGTTGGCAATATGTTTTAGCCATAGTAGTACATTTACTAAAGGTCTATTCAAAGAAATATTTTATATCTGCTGAAGATTTATATGCCAGAAAAATTGCAGAGAACCTTTTTTTTTTTCATTTTATTGCATATAATAATATTGCCCTGCGATGAGATTAAATGGAGCAACATAGTAAGTGAGGATTTATATAACCGATCCCAAACAATTCCAACTTGCTTGTGATTGGAACGTTGTTGTTATGCTGTTACTATATCTGGCATCATCTTGGGTATCTACATGATTTTTCAAAGAACTATGCTTTTACGATGTAACCTAGATCTATCACGGATACAGGGCTATATCTCTAGGATGCTTTGTGCACCAGACTGCCTTTTTTATCCCTTGTCCTTCCGCACCAGGCTGCCTCTTTTAGAAGGCAACTTTCTCTTAACAAAAGCTTATAGATTAGTTCAACCAACGGACTGAATGAGGCACGAAATAAATGAGAATAAACTAAGAAATGCAGAAAACACCAACCTGGTGCTGGTCCTGTTTCCAGTAAAAGAACCACATCAAGGAAAATGTGATTTATGAATATATGAATCAGTCGTTTACAATCTTAGATTAAGCAAAGCTAATACCAGGAGCTTTAAATGCATTTTGTTCATCCATCACTCTCCTCACACCCTCAGAATCCACATACCTGCCCATACCTGCAAGGATATTAGCAAGAAGCACATAATCGCCACCATATTTTTTTTCCATCTCCATGATCTTCTGCATAACTCTTTCTCCCGTATCTGCATTATCATGAAAACTACAAGCACCTAATAGTGTTCTCCAAATCACAACATTAGACATGATATTAGGTATCTCCAATGCTATCTTTTCTGCTTCTTCTAACCTACCTTCCCTCCCTAACATGTCAATCAAGCAACCATAATGCTTAATGTCTGGTTGAATCCCAAACTCATCAACCATCTTTCTGAGAAACTCGAGCCCCTCATCCACCAAACCTCCATGACTACAAGCATTGAGCATACTCAAAAATGTTATGCGATTTGGTTCAATACCTCCCTCCACCATCATCTTATAACTATCGAAAGCTTCTTTTGCCATCCCATGCATTGCATATCCTGATATTATTGACGTCCATGACACCAAATTCTTTCTTTCATCTGATATATCCTCGAAAGCTCTAACAGCATCGTCTATACTTCCACACTTAGCATAAGCATCCACAAGTGAATTCATAACACGAATATCAAAAGCATCGATACCACTTTTCTCCCCGTAAGCATGAATCATTCTGCAACACTCTAGACAGCGAACATTCCAAATAGCCGGGAAAATCGCCAATAGAGTCACTTCAGTCGGTTTAATCCCCTCAACCACAACCATTTCCCGAAACAAAGACAAAGCCTCATTGAACCGACCCATCCTCGTATACCCATCGATAAGACCCGTCCATGAAATAACATTCTTCTCCGGCATTCCATCAAACACCGCCCGAGCAACCTTAACATCACCCCATTTAATACAACCACTGATCAAAGCATTCCAAGTCACAGAATTTCTCACAGGCATTTCATCAAACACCTTCTTGGCTTCACCAACCAATCCACATTCCCCATACATATTAACCAATGCAGTTTGCACATAAACATGAGATTCAAATCCATCCTTCAAACTCAAACAATGAATCTGCTTCCCAATACAAAACTTTCCTAAATTAGCTGATCCTTTAATCAAGAATGAATATGTAAAGCTATCAAAAAAGATAATGGGGTGATACTGTAACCGCAATTGTTTGAACAGAAGAAAAGATTCTTGTGGGAAAATACCAAGAGAGTAATGCCGAATTAAAGAGTTCCATAGAGTTAATAAAATGGGTATTGAAGAAGTTGAGTTGAAGGTGTTTTCTGCAGTGGTGAATATTAACTGAGTATGAATTTGCTGAATTGGTTTGCGATGGTTTTGGTACTTTTTAACAAGACTAAGAAGATGATGAACATCTCTGCCCATCAAAGTTTCATTCTTTGAAGCATTAATGGACTAAATTTGAGAGCAGAAAAAAAGCTCTCAACTTTCGAGCTTCACTGTCTATGGCGAAACGCAATTCCAAGAAAATACTAGCAAGCAAGGTTGAAATTTTAGCTCATGACTTACAATTATTTAATCGAAAATAACACACTCATAAAATTTGATATGTATGGTTTAATAGCACAAAGTGTATTATATGTAATTTATTTTAACGAATATAACGTTTAAATATTGGATGTTTGTTTTTTTAGGTGAAAATTTTGTATAAAAAGTTTAATAAAATTTAAATAGGAAAAAGAGTCAGATATATCCATCAACTTTGATATTTAAAGTTAATATACTCCTCGTTATGAAATTGGTTCATATATGCCTTACCGTTGTACAAACGGCTCACATATACTCATGTTGTTATAAAATGACTCACATATATCCTTCATTTAACGGAAGTTAAAAGAATTAGTTTTAAATTTATATTTATTACTTTTTTTAAAAAAAAAATTGTTTAGGGGTATATATGATTCTTCTATCCAAGTTCAAGGTATGTTTTAATTTTTTTCATACATAAATTATTTTTTGACTTCTTTTATTATAATTATTTGAGTTTCTTATTCTTATTCTTATTTTTATCTTTCATTCCTTAGTTTAAAGAGAAAAAAATTAAACTATTTTTCTTGTCTATATTGTAGTTTGATTTTTATATTCGAAGAAAAAAATTTGGCCCATCTATAATAAGTTTTACAAGAATATTAGTGAAACATAAATAAATTTGATTATCAAAATAATAATTCTAAATTAGTCATTGAAACAAAAAAAAATAAAAAAAAATATGTTTGACGAGGATTAAATTTACTCATATGGTATATTTTTTAGAAAAAAATAATAAAAAGTTAGATTATTGTTTTTTTCATGTCCGTTAGAGGAAAAGGATATATGTGAGTCATTTGTTTATAAGTAGAGGTATATATGAATCACTTTCATAACAAGGGTTATATCAGATCTAAATGACAAAGTTGAAGGGTATATCAAACCCTTTTCCCATTTGAATATAGGGAAACTTACATAAATATACTAAAATAAAAAAAATTATTTATAGCAATAATATTTTTTTAATTGATCACTTTTAATTCATTTATAATACAAGTTTAATACATATTACAAAGAACAATTTATTATTCACATATAATACAAGTTTTAATGATGGATAATACATTTACCACAAATTTTGATACACTTATAATATAATGTGACACATTTTTACCAAACAAACATAATATATTTCAAAAAATAATTAATAATTCATGTATATTGCATACATAATTCACTCTTCATATATATTACATATTTAACATAGTATTGTTATAAATGGTAATAAATTGAAAATTTCACTAAAATCGATAATTATTTATTAGAATATACTAATTCATGTAATTTTTCGTTGAATTATAACAGTAAAGATATTTTAAACAAGGAAAAAGGGTCAAATATGCCCCTAGACTATTCGAAAAGGTCTAGACATATCCTTTGTTTAAAGTTTGACTCACTCATGCCCTCTCCGTCCAACTTTTGGTTCAAATATGCCCTTATGAGCGTTAGTTGTCATGTTGGACAAATTCAACTTATTTTTTCATTTCTTTAAATGTTACATGAAATTGTCATGTCATTTTGACCTTACCACATGACATTTATATAAAAATGAAAAATATCCGAACTCATAAACACCTAATCCGACACATAAATCAACTCCTTTTAAATTCACTATCCGACTCATTTTTAGTAATTTTGTTTAATTTTTATTTTTTCGATAAATCACGAAAATGAGTAATTGATTAATAAAAAATAGGAAAAATATGAAAAATATATAAAATTGACGCCAAAATTTCATAAATAAATATAGTAACCTTAAATCTGACATTTAAATATTTTTTTAATTTTTTTATTTTTCGGTAAATCTCGAAAATGAGTAATTGATTAATAAAAAATATGAAAAAAATATAAATTAACGCCAAAAGTTTACAAATAAATATAGTAACATTTTATTATACATTTTTTTTAAATTTTTTTATATTTTTCGGCAAATCCCGAAATGAGTAATTTATTAATAAAAAGGGAAAAATATGAAAACAAAATAAAAAATTTACGTTAAAATTCACAAATAAATATAGTAACCTTAAATTCAATAATTTCAACAAATTTTTTATTTCATATATTTCTATTTTTTATTTCTGATTTTTTTGCGTAATTTTTATATTTTTTCATATTTTTTTGTTAATGAACTCATTTTTGGGATTTTCTGAAAAAATTAAAAAATATTGAAATTGTTGAATTAAAGGTTATTGTTTTCATTTTTTTATTTTTGGCGTTAATTTTTTATTTTTTATCAATCAATTACTCATTTGGGATTTATCGAAAAAAATAATTTTTTTTAAAAAATGTTTGAATTGAATTTAAGGTTATTATATTTATTTGTGAATTTCTGGCGTTAATTTTATATTTTTTCCATATTTTTTTTATCCTTTACTAATCAATTCCTCATTTTTCGGAATTTATCGAAAAAATAAAAATTAAACAAAATTATTAAAAATTGATCGGATAGTGAATTTAAAAAGAGTTGATTTTTGGGTTTGATTAGGTGTTTATGAGTCCGAATATGTCATGTGGTAAGGTCAAAATGACATGACAATTCAATGTGACATTTAAAGAAATAAAAAATGAGTTGGATATGTCCAACATGAAACTAACGACTATAAAAGTATATTTAGACCAAAAGTTGAACGACAGATGAGTGAACTAAACTTTAAACGGAGGGGTATATCTACACATTTTTAAATAGTTTGGAGATTCAAATAGTTCAGATACATATCTAACTCTTTTTCCTTTTAACAATAAAATATCTTTGGACGTCATCTTGACGACGTGGATGTTAACCATTGGCCAACAAAGTGATAAGAAATGTGTGCTCATTACTCATTTCATCTCAATGATAATATATACCCATCCTAAAAAGAAAGAAAATAAAAAAATATCTTCTTCTTCTTCACCCTAACACAGAGCAAATAAAAATGGCGTCCATAGCCGGTGTTAGTATAACAATCCCAACAATTTCATCCGATTCACCCAAAATTCAGCCCTTGAAATTGCAAACCCTAAACAGCCCATGGAAGAAATCAAGTCAATTGGGTTACAGGAGGATGATGTATGTAGTGGTACCCAGAGTAGTTCCGGATAAGAAGCTATCTGATTTAGTTGCGGAAAGTGTTAAAGAAGCTGAAGAAACTTGTGCGGAGGATCCGGTGAGCGGCGAGTGTAAGGCGGCATGGGATGTGGTGGAAGAGACGAGTGCAGCAGCGAGCCATGCGAGGGATAAGAAGAAGGAATCAGATGTACTGGAGAATTATTGCAAGGATAATCCAGAAACTGATGAATGCCGCACTTACGATAATTAATTATGATGATGATTAGTAGCAGCTACTCATGTCATGTCTTGTGTTCTTTTCAAATGGTAATCTGTTTTATCAAAACTTAAATCTTCTCTTATGTTATGTATGGTATGGTGTTTAATTATACATACTGTTACCATGAATTCCAATTTATGTGATATAGTTTGAACGAACGAATTGAAAATGATAAAGTTAGATCAGAGCAGAAATATAACCAGAGAGCTTTAGTTTAAACAATTGTTCTCTGCTAGTAATGCTACTTTCAATTTTCAGTTTACATGAATAAATAAAGCATCTTTTACAACAACAAAAAAGAAGAAAACCCAATGATCAATAATCATGTTATCTGAATCAGCTTATACAGTATTTAATTTTACGAGTACCTGCTATCTCCCATCAATCAAATAACCATCCACGAAGACGACAGATGGGAAGACATATCACTAGTTAAACTCTTGCAAGTCAAATGACAGAAAAAAGAGTTCAAACTCTTTGCCCTATAAAAGCATTGACATCCAATGATCAAAATAATTAGAATGGAAAAAATAGGATAAACAAGTCCACAATATCAACACACAGCAATTTTTTCATAGAAATGAGAAGGGCCATCTCATTCATAGTACTCCAAAAGATGCATATATAACATCCACAGACTAAATAAAGTCGAACAAATACTAAAAACAACAAACTAGATATTCAGATATCGATAATAGGCCAAAACCAACCATTACTATTCAGAAACAAAAGCTACATTGCTAATATCAAACTAGATACTTAATACGCTTAATCTCTATTCCATTCTTGTAAATCATCACACCAGCAGAGCTCAAAACTGGAACATATCAGAAGCAGTGATAGGTTGAATCGGGCAAGGCAGTTGCCATGGCTCCAGCAAAGTGTCGGGAATTTCAGGAATGTCCACAGGAAATCCAGTAGTATCAGCCCAAAATTGGGTGAGTGAGTTCAGTGAATTCAACCGTTCAGTCAATTCTGCAAGCTGAGCCCTCAACACGTTGTTCTCTGCATCAATGGAACGATAGTTCATTTCAACAGAAGCAATCTTATCACGGCAGATACTGTTCTGGTTCTGCAGCTGTGTTGTTTCGCTACTTAACTCCTCCAAACGCTGCTGCTTCTTCATCCGTGACCTCTTGGCCGACTCACGGTTGGATTCCATTCTCTTCCTTTTCCTTTCGTCGAACTTTGCATACCTCTGGTCTGCATCTGAACCAGAACTCACCAAGTGCGGAGTCGAAGACATGTCTCTCAGGCAGATTGGATGAATGATTTAAAAAATGGAATAACAGGGAACTATGTATAATTTGTTAAAGCACCAAACTTTTGATAGTGTGGCTATGGAATTTGTAAATTAAACTGGAACAAGAAAATGATGAGGGCTCTAGTTCATGAAAACACGTAGAACCAGTAAAGAAAGACTACTGAGAAAGAATGCAGAATCCGAACTCGTCGCACGCGAATAGAGAATGACATGAAGAAATTTTGAAACTAAGAATCAAACATTGGAACTTTGTAAGAGACCCCAACCAGTCTTCAAAGAAACCAAATAATTTCCTGAGTAGAATATCCAAAATCCAAACAGCAAATGAAAGTATTCACAAAAATGATCTGCAATCAAACACAACAGACTATATTAGAGAACATCTCAGAAACGCGATCAAAAGGCCAAAACAAAATTCAACCACAAAACCACAATAACATACGTTCTGCTACTCAACAAAATTCTAACCATTAAAGATGTCTCAACTTAAATTTTCAAATACAACAAAAATAACAACCACATCAACAACATACAAGTGTAATTCCACAAGTGGGATCTAGGGAGGGTAGTGTGTACTGTGTACAGACCATACACAAAATCCTTCGAATCTTTCAACAAGATTAAAAACTAACTTCCAAATCCTTTTGGATTTTTGAAAGATTTGGAAATTTGAGTTTGAAGATGTTCTATAAAGAGTTCTTTTTTTTTTGCTGAAAGAGCTCAACCAAATTACTGTTTTTGCAAACCCTAAAACAAATGTCACTAGATTAAGGCTCACCAAATCAATTGATATCAGATGATTTACCTACTCAATAAAGTTCATTTTGATTCTAATCCCATAAAAGGGGGTAAGGTTCTGAAGTTCAAATCTTTTTTCTCTTTCTCAGTTAAAAAAGTTCATATCTTTATAGGCATGAGTAGATCCATCTACTCTTTACCATCAACACAAATTGGAAAATCATCAAACAAGGCAAACAGAAGAACTTTCTAATTCCTATATAAAGGGGTAAAAGTACTAATGTTCAATTTTTTTTCTCTTTCTCAGATAAAAAAGTTCAAGACTTTATAGGCACAAGATCCATCTTCTCTTTACCATGAACACAAATTGGACAATCATCAAACAAAACAAACAGAAGGACTTTCTAACCCCTATTTAAAGGAGTAAAAGTAATAAAGTTCAAATCTTTTTTCCTTCCTCAGATAAAAAAGGTTCAAATCATAAGATCCCTCTTCTCTTTACCATCAACACAAACTGGAAGATCATCAAACAAAACAAACAAAAAACTTTCTAATCCCTATACAAAGGGGTAAAAGTACTAAAGTCCAAATCTTTTTTCTTTTCTCAGTTTAAATAGTTCAAATCTTTGTAGGCATAAGATCCATCTTCTCTTTACCATCAACACAAATTGGACAATCATCAAACAAAACAAACAAAAGGACTTTCTAACCCCTATTTAAAGGAGTAAAAGTACTAAAGTTCAAATCTTTTTTCCTTCCTCAGATAAAAAAGTTCAAATCATAAGATCCATCTTCTCTTTACCATGAACACAAATTGGACAATCATCAAACAAAACAAATAAAAAACTTTCTAACCCCTACACAAAGGGGTAAAAGTACTAAAGTCTAAATCTTTTTTCTTTTCTCAGTTAAATAAGTTCAAATCTTTGTAGGCATAAGATCCATCTTCTCTTTACCATAAACACAAATTGAACAATCATCAAACAAAAGAACAAACAAAAAAGCAAAATCAAAACACACAAAATAAAGAAAGCAAAAAAGGAAAAGGGGTAAAGGAGAATGAAGCTTACCTTTGCAAAGAGGGAAGTTGTTGAACCAAAAGGTTGAAAGAATGTTATAAAGGAGTAGAGAATGGGGTTTATATAGGCTAGAAGAAGAAGCTTTTTGAGTTTTTTTTTTTATAAAATTATTTTAAGGAAAGTTGTGTCATAGGTGTAATATGGTTGGCTATAGGATGACAGCTAATAAACCTACTAATATTAGGTAAGTTTCTTCTATCTTTCCATGGGAGTATATATTTTCTCTTAATTTTAAAATATTTTTTTATTTAATAGTACATGATCCCATGTTTTTACTATGCCTTGAAAATATTCAAGTCTGTCTCCAATATCAAATAATCTATTTTGAATTTATTTGTCATGAAGTAAAAAAATAAAAAATAAATTATTACATTTTTAAATTATACTCTTCTCCGTTTCAAAAAGAATAATCTAGTTTGACTTGAAAGGGAGTTTAAGAAAAGAAAGAAGATTTTTTAATCTTATGTTTATAAATTAAATTAAAGTTATGTAAAATGTACCAAAACATCCTTTAATCTTGTGGTCTTAAACATGCCGCATGAAAAGTTAAAGTTAAAATATTACCTAAAAAGGAAAGGAGTCATTTTTTTAAACATATTTAAAAAAAATTATTTTTTTTAATCGGAGGAAGTATGATTTGAATTTATATCTATTACAAATGAAAGCAAATATATTAAATGAAAAAAAAGATTAAGGTGATGTATCCAATATCTTTTAAATTTGAATTATGAATTATATGCTTTTCATCACAAAATGAACATAAATTTTATTATATTTTATGTTTGATAAATAGAATATATGTATCACTTTCATAGATTATCTTATATTATCGTACTTTCTTATTGAAAATATCATAAACTTTAAATTTTATGTTTGATAAAATGAAGGTCAATTTTAAAGAAATTAAATAATTGATAAAATAATTTCATATTATTAAGTCATATTTTTGAAATTAACAAAATATATTTTGTTTTTCAAAATTCAAAATAAATATGATCAGTCTGCTAGACAATAAAGGTAAGTTGTCTTTTTTTTTTTTTTTAAAGAATAGTAAAATTAAAAAGTATATTTGAACCTGAGAAAAATAAAAAAAAATTAAGGAGTAATTGAATAGAAGTTGAAACTTAATGTACTATTATGAAGTTTCAACAAATTATGTGGAGTCATCTTCTCCAAGTCAAATTTTTTCTCTGATAGATCTCAAATTCTTCAGTTCTGCCATTGAAGTAGTTGTGGAGCTTAAGTAACTGATATTGAATTCGTGAAGACCAAAAAAATGGGTGTAGATGATGAAGTACCGATTGACGATAAAGCGAAGAGAATGAGAGATCTATTATCGAGCTTTTACTCTCCAGATCCTAATTCTACTTCAGTTCCGCCTAATACTTCTTCCAGATTTGCAACTTTGGATACCATTAACACTACTGCCTTCGATGCCGATCAGTACATGAATTTACTTGTATGTTCTCTCATTTACTTGCTCGGTACTTCATTTTGTTGTAGATTGATTTTGAATTAGTTTTAGTCTGGTTTATAAATCCTTTTTAGCAATTTAAGCTGTTATTTGGCCGATTTTGAAGTTGCAACTTGAAAAGTTGAGTTTTTGAAGTGGTGATTGGGCATCCATTTTACTCGGAAAGAACTAGCTGAATTTTTTCCCCAAGACTGATATTCAGGATTTGATACAAAATCTATGGCTAAATGCTAGCTTGGAATATGGCTATCCTGATTTTTTTTTAATTAATAAAACAATTATTTTATTGAATTCTGTAGTTCCATGGAAGTGTGTATATGTTCACTACAAAATTAAAAGAATTTAGGACTTGTTGCATATAGTGTTATTGGACTCTGGTTATGTATATTTATATATGTCCATCTACTTTGTTTTGGATATGGTTTGGAGTGTGATTCAGTACCTATACCCACACGTGATTTCATATCTATGGGCGAATTCCTAGTGGTGGATCGGATGTACTGATCCTGTGATTCTTGGTTAGACTTAATCATTTCATTTATGAAAGATTTTGTGTTGTTCAAATAATGAAAGTATACCAATGGTTCTACACGTACAACCTTG